AATCTCAACCATTGACCCCAAATCTCAACCATTGACCCCAAATCCCAACCATTGACCCCAAATCTCGACCATTGACCCCAAATCCCGACCATTGACCCCAAATCCGAACCACTGACCCCAAATCCCAACCGTTGACCCCAAATCTCAACCATTGACCCGTATCATGATTGTTGACCCAAATCTCAACCATTGATCCCCAATCTCTGCCCCGTTCAGCCCCTGTGGCTCCTCTGCCACCCCTCCGGCTTCACCTTCGGCAGCCACACCATGTTCTGGGTTCGCCAGAGCCCCGGGAAGGGGCTGGAATGGGTCGCTTCGATCAGCTATAATGGTGCTGCCACCAGATACGCGCCGTCGGTGAAGGGCCGGTTCAGCATGGCCAGGGACAACGGGCAGAGCTCGGTGACGCTGCAGATGAACAACCTCAGGGACGAGGATTCCGCCACCTATTTCTGTGGCAAACATGCTGGTGCTGGTGCTCCTGTTGCTGATGGCATCGACCCCCTTTGTGGGGTCCCCAAACCTCCCCAAAACTCTGCCCTTCTCACCCAAATCTGAACCGTTGATGCCAAACATCAAAAGTTTACCCCGAATCTTTTAACATGTTGAAGAATGTTGGGTCGACGGTTGAGGTTTGAGGCCAAGAGTTGAGATTTGGGGTCAATGGTTGAGATTTGGGGTCAGTGGTTGGGATTTGGGGTCAAGGGTTAAGATTTTGGGTCAAGAGTTGAGATTTTGGGTCAAGGACTGAGATTTGGGACAAAGAGTTGGGGTTTGATGTCAAAGGCAGAGAATTTGGGGTCAAACCAGCCCAAGGTCGGGACCAAAGAATGAGAACTGGGTGTGAAGGGGCGGAACTTTGGGGGGAGGATTTGGGGAGGTTTGGGGACCCCACAAAGGTGGTCAGGAAAACCTCCAGCATAATAAGCAGCATTATCATCACCCCTGGTGCAGAAATAGGTGGCGGAATCCTCGTCCCTGAGGTTGTTCATCTGCAGCGTCACCGAGCTCTGCCCGTTGTCCCTGGCCATGCTGAACCGACCCTTCACCGACGGCCCGTAGGTGGTGTAACGACCACTATAGCTGATCCCAGCAACATATTCCAGCCCCTTCCTGGGGCTCTGGCGCACCCAGTACATGGTGTAGTCGCCGAAGGTGAAGCCGGAGGGGTGGCAGAGGAGCCACAGGGGCTGAACGGGGCAGAGATTGGGGGTCAAGGGTTGAGATTTGGGTCAACAATCATGATACGGGTCAATGGTTGGGATTTGGGGTCAATGGTTGGGATTTAGGGTCAATGGTTGAGATTTGGGGTCAATGGTTGAGATTTGGGGTCAATGGTTGGGATTTGGGGTCAATGGTTGACATTTGGGG